AGATTATTTATAATTATATCTTAAGATAAGCTTAAAATAAATATTATTATAAGATTAGGTATTAGTAAAAAAGGTATTTCTTAAGATTTTATAACTAAATTAGTTATTTTAAATAAAATAAGGATTAGCTTAAGTATAAGTATAAGTAAATTATATTAAAAGATCTTTATTAAAGTTAGTAGCTTAAAAATAATAGTTCTAATATTATTAAAATTTAATATATTAGATTATATAGAGTAAATTCTCTAGGAGGGTATAAAGCTAGGTCTAGGTAAGTAACCTCTTAAGTATTATATACTACCTACCTTCTTTAAAGAAAATAAAGCTCTTAAGGACCTTAGTAGTCTATCTAATCTTTATTAGTAAGTCTTAAATTTAGTTAGTTAAGTAAAAAAGGTATACCTCTTAAACTTAGCTATAGTATTATTATATAATAAAATAGTCCCTAAATTAGGTTAAATAATATCTTTTATAGTTTAAGTATTTTTCCTTTATATTATTACTTTTTATTTAGTATAGTTTATTTTTATTATATAACTAATATATATATTTTTTATATTTCTTTTTATTTTAATAAAACCTTTTAATATATTTATATTAATAATATTAAAAGTATTATAAAAACTAAACTAATTTTATAAAAAGTTTATATTAAAATATTTATAAGTTAAAGAAAACTTTATATTTATATAATTAATTAGTTATTTTTATATTATAAATTTTAATAATAAAAGATATTTTTATTTTAGTTTTTATTTAAAGATAATATATTTTTATAATAATTATATTTACTTTATTAAAGACTAATAATATTATAATTAGGTTATTAATATCTTATAAAATCTTATTTAATAAAACTCCCTTTACTATTATAAAGTAAACTCTTTAAGATAAAGTTATTTTTAAGCTAAAGATAGTTCTTATTTACTATTTATTTTATATATACTCTTTTGCTCTTTAGTAAAAAAAGAGAACTATATCCCTTAAAAAGAGATAATATATAATTATTATAATATTAACCTAAATAGCTTAATTAATTATATTTATAACTTCTTATAATAACTTATCTTTTATTTTTTAAAGGTAATTCTTAGCTTTAATTAGTTCTTTTTTATATTAAACTAAAACTAATATTATCTTAAAGGTACCCTAAGCCTATCTTAAAACTACCTTAATATATAACCTTATTTAAAAAGGTAAAGCCTAAGTCTCTTTTTAACTTTATTTAAGTATTTATATAACTCTTTCTTATATAATAATCTAGACTATTTCCCTAGTTATTAGTACCTTTATTAAGATAGCCTTAGTCTTTACCTAAGCCTAAGTCTAAAGATATTTTTATTATATTTTCTTTATTTTATTTTTATATTTATCTTTAATTAAGAAAAAAAGCTTATTAATTAGTTCTTTTTTAATCTATAATTACTATTAAGATATTTCTACTTTAGGCTTATTATAATATATTTCTACTATAAGGATATATCTAAATATATCCCTAGTAATATTTCTACTATTATGTCTACCTTTACTACTATAGCTCTAAGCTACTATTATCTAGGGGTAGATTTAGGTGTAATTTAACGTTAGATAGGTTATTTTTTAATTTTATTGCTGGTTTAGACATAATATAGGCATATACCGTTTCCTAGTCGTGAAGGTTCTTAAGTTTTAATATATTAATATAGTAAATATTATAAAATATTAAAATATAATTAAAAGAGAATATAAGATTATATTATTATCTTAAGAAGATAATTTAATTATGAACTATTTATAATTCTAATATATTAAAAAGTTAAAAAAGAAGCTTTTAAAATAAATTAAATATATTTTAAGAAGAAATTAAGGTATTTTTTAAATAAATAAGCTAAATATAATAATAAGTTAATTATATATTATTTAATATTTCTTTTCTAAATATAAAAGAAATTATTATAAAAACGTTATTATAATTAAATAATTTCTAATAAAAGTTATATATTAGAATAATAACCTAAAACTAAGTAAAACCTTTAATAAAACTAATATATATATATTATAAATATAAAATAATTATTAGTTATTAAAATAAAAATAATAAAGTTAGAAAAAAAGACTTTTATAAAATAAGTTAATATAATAATTAATTAATATAGTTTACTTATGAAAATTAATTATATAAATATTATTTTAACTTTTTAGTTTTAAAGTTTAATCTCCTATACTTTAAGAAAAAATATACTTTAAATCTAGGCTCTTTATAACTTAAAACTAAAAAGGCCTACTTAGTAATCTATAATAAACTCCTTAAGATAATAATATTTAGTAGTTTTAAATAAGGAAAATATATTAAAGTAATAATAATAAAAGCTTTAAATATAACTATTAAAAAATCTTAAATCTTAAAAACTAAATAGGTTAAAGATTTATATTTATAAAAAGTTTATTTAATTCTATTTTTTAAAATTATTATATAATATTAAAGTATATTTAAATTTATAATAAACTTAATATAACTTTTATAAAAAAATTAAATAAAACATTAAACTTATATAAGCTATAAATATATATTAAAGTAAAGTAAATATATATATATAACTTATTTATTATATTATTAAAAAAATAAAGCTTAGTTAAATAAAAATAAATATAGAATTTATTTAATAATAATAATAATAATAATAAATTTAGATTATTATTTTTAAAAAATACTTAAATCTAATACTAATATCTATTAAAACTCTATTTAAAATATATTTAATATTAGTTAAAATATTTAATTTAAAAAATAGTTATAATTAAAGTAATTTTAAATATTATTTAATTTAGTTAATATTAAATTTATATTAAAATAATATTATTTTAACTTAATATATATTTAATATAAGTATAATTTTTCTTTATTTAAATAAATATCATTAAAATATAAAATTAAATATATTATATATTAATTTAATTAAAATAGGTAATAATATTAATTACCTTTATTTACTTTTCTTATATAATATTAATAATAAATATAAAATATTAAATATAACTTAGATAAATAAAGT